GCTATTATTTCTATAGTGTTTATTAAATAAATAAATAATAAATAAAATTTTAAATAAGAACATTTTTAAATGCATTAGCATTAACTATGGAAAAGTAGGTAAATAAGAAAATGACAAAGAATGAATAAATTTCCCATGATATTATCACCTCAAAGAGAGAGCAGCTACTGGGAGTCTTCTGTCTGGCGGCAGTGCACACCTCCGCATAAATAATATCTTACTATACATACATGTTAGTCTGCTTTTTAAATTTAATATCTATCCCCTCAGAAGAATATTAAAACATCATTTTAATAACCAAAATTTACTTCCAAAGTTTAATTATATGTTCTCAATTTAGTTAAACACATTTTGCTTTATTTTGTCATTTCAAACTAAGCCTTACATGATTGATTTCATAAAATTTAATTTCACAGTGAAACACTGAAACAAAATGTCTAATTCAATTAAGATTCTTTAAAATCTATTCTTGGGGGCTAGAGAGGCAGCTCAGCAGTTAAGAGCACTGGCAGCTCTTGCAGCAGACCCATGTTCAGTTCCCAGCACCAAACAGTCGCTAACAACCATCCATAACTCCAGTTCTAAGGGATCTTACACCCTCTTCCAGCTTCCATGAGCACTGCACACACATGGCACACTTACATGCAAGCAAGGAAAACAGTCACATAAAAATAAAAATAAATTTTAAAAAATTAAAATCTATCCTTATCTCAACAAAACAGCATACTAAATTAGAAAAATAAATCATAGGTCTGTCATTTATTTAAACTGTGCATATCAGGTAAGTTATATAATTTTAAAGCCTCAGTTTTTACTTCTATAAATAAGAATGATTAGCACTTACTTTTAGAATTATTGTAATTATTATGTTCATTAAGGTACATTTATATATCTAGGAAATATTTATTGACATTATTTACTATGTCACAGACATTACGTACACTGGGTAGAAAATAACTGACCCTTCATATAAGATTTACATTCCAATAAGGTGACAGATATTAATTAACGGTCACACAAATAATGCAGACAGTGATGGGGTCTAGAGGGAAAGGTACAAACCAATGAGATCTGACAATATGTAGTCCTAACAGTGTTTTGACTTCCTTAGAAAATGGATTTCTGAGAATCTAAGAATTCATAAGTATGCACTAAATAAAGAGGTGGAAGAAGTAGGTTGTTGCTAGAGGAAAGAACTACATGTATAAAGGGTCTGTGGTGGATAAAGGCCACAAGAGGAGAGAGAGGGTGGCACAAGTGTGGCTGTGAAGGCAGAAAGGAAGCCAGATGGTGTCAAAGCCCACAAGGAAGATGCTGTTTATCAGAAAGCCAATCAGAAGTCACTGAAAGGACTTGAGTAGACATGTCTGCACTTGAAAAAGACCTCTCTACAGCATAACTACTGAGTAGAGAACAAGGTTAGAATTAAGTATGCTCATAAATGACTGCTGTGATGATCATGGCAGAAGACAGCGTCTTAGACAAAGGGCCACGTTGGTAGTGAAGGAAGGAGATAGAGTCAGTAAGTGCTCACGTGATGAAATTTAGTGAGAGGAAGGTGACATATGATAATTAGACTAAGAAATTTTTGAGATATTCCAGAGGAAATTTCACAAGTAGGAATCAGATCAAAACCTGAACTATAGATAAAATCCTGGCAGTCATTTGCATATAATCTATAACTGAAGGCCTCACACAGATGCAGTCATTTGGAAAGAGGGTAAGGTGTGAAGAATGTCTACAGAGTGGCCTTTTATCACCTCAGCAGGCACTTCTCTGACACCTCAAGAATGCTGAGTGGAGTTAGTTGGTCAAGGATGAAACAGCAGTGAGAGAAGTGGGGTGAGCATATCAAACCCTGTCATGGAAGCCTGGCACAGGCAGACATGCTCCCCATAGGTTCCATTAATGCCTGGCACAGGCACGGAGGTAGACATGCTTCCTCAAGGTTCCCCCTGATGCTTCTACTTTCTTATGCAACAAGGGGTGAGGTCATCAGCTTA